TTCTCTCTCAATTCTGGGTTTCACCTTGTTGCTCATGGCTCTAGTTCAGAGTTTTTCAGCCTGTCCTGCTGATATTTGTGGCCAGATAAATTTTTATGAGGGGCTTCCTTCTCCATCACAGGTTGCTTGATGGTATTCCTGGTCTATATTTGCTAGAGGCCAGTAATCCTCTCCCTTGACCTCAATGTCTCTAGGCACTGCAAAATGTCCCATTGTTGGTGACGTCACTTGCACTTAGAATCACTTTTCTAGTTGATTCATTTTAACTGCTGTATCATGTTCCAGCATGACATTGTAACAAATCTCTATTTCATTTATCCACTGATGGATGTTTAGGTTATTTCCAAAATGTTAATAATTAGGAAGACTTCTTCAGTGAGACTTTTTGTTCATATTCATTCTCTTTCTCAATCCCCCTTTTTATTCTTTCTGATAGGGTCTCACTAAATAGCACTAAATGTTCTGAAACTCTCTGTTTATACAGACCAGATTGGTCTCAAATTTAAGGCAGCCCTGTGTCTGCCTCCCAAGTGCTGAGATTACAGGTGTGAGCCACCTTCTTTATGCTTCCTCAGGCACATCTGTGAGACTCTCCCTGGGAGAGGGATAGAAGCAGAGGGATAGAAGAGATTGACTTCTGTTATATTCATATTTTTAACTCTACCAGATATTGCCACTTAATCTCTGTATTTGTAGAAATTTATATTAGTCAGATGAATAAAAAAAGATACTGTCGCTGGACAGTGGTGGTGCACACCTTTAATCCCAGCACTTGTGAGACAGGTGATGTGGGATTTCCCTCTGTATGCTGTGAATATGATTGGTTAATTAATAAATAAAACTGCCTTGGCCTATTGATAGGGTAGGCGGGGAAAACTAAGTGCTGGGAGGAAGAAAGGCAGAGTCAGAGAGAAGCCGTGGAGCTGCTGTGGGCGACAGACATGTTGAAACCTTGCCAGTAGGTCACGACCTTGTGGTGATGCACAGATTAATGGAGATGGGTTAAATTAAGATGTAAGAGCTAGCAAATAAGAAGAGCTAGCTAATGGGCCAAGCAGTGATTTAAATGGTATGGTTTCTGTGTGATTATCTTGGGACTGAACAGCTGGGAACCAACAAGTGGCCTCCTTGCATCACAGAGGCAGGCAGATCTCTGTGAGTTTTAGGCCAGTCTGGTCTACAAAGCAAGTTCCAGCCAGAGCTAAAACAGTGAAACCCTGTCTTGAAAAACTAAAATAAATAAACGAAAAAATACTGTCATTCTATATCAGTACCTTGTATGGTCAGATTTTGAAATTTTTGTTAGATAAATGATATTCAATTATGATTTTAGTTTATTTCCTTGATTGTCACAGGGATTTAAAAAACCTATCTGGATATAACTGTATTAAAAAAAGAATTAAATTTTTACTGTATGATAATTTATTAAGAATCCAGAAACTTTCTCCAAATTATTAGGCCTTATCTTACAGGAGTTTAAAACTATTTGCGTTTCTATGATTAACTTTAAGAAGGGGTTCTGGCCAGGCAGTGGTAGCATACGCCTTTAATCCCAGCGCTTGGGAGGCAGAAGCAGGCAGGTAGCTATGAGTTCAAGGCCAGACTAGTCTACAGAAAAATTCTAGGACAGCCAGGACTGTTACACAGAGAAACCCTGTCTCAAAAAACCAAAAAAGAAAAAAAAGGAAAGAAAGGGGAAAAAAACAGAAAAAAGAAGTGGTTCTGGACTGTGTACATTTTGGGGTTTGTATCAGAGATGATGATCTAGTTGTAATGCTACTCTTCTTGTAGGAATGGCATTACTGTCTGTTTAGGGAGTGACTAAACTATTTTAATAACTAGAAATTATTTCCCTTAGTGTTGTTGAATGCTTTTGTCTCAGAGTCACTTGCTATTAATAGCCGTGTACCAAATTTGTCTCTTTGATATTATGATCCAAAGCCTGCATTTTTTCATACCATATGAAATTTGAAATTGCTTATGCACTGTTTCCTAAGTCATTTTACTAAATGCAGTGCAAGTTTACAATACATAGTCACAGTTTTATACTTACTTTAAAGACATTTAAAAATTTTTAGATGGATATGACACAAAGTCATATTTGATATGTATTATGTCCATATGTATGTGTTATCTATCAGTAAGTGGATGATGAAATCCTCTGAAGTTTTATGTGTGTGATCTAGTTGAAATAGAATTTTGAAAAACAAATCAAAAGAAAAATATATGTATTCATAGTTTATTTGCCATACTTAAATTAAGATGTTGTGGGAAATCCAACTGTATTACTGTAATTTTCATTTATGTTCAGACATTGTATTCTGATCTCCTTAATATGTGAATCCCAAGAGAATTTTTTTATTAAAGAGGCTGTGTCAAAATACCTGACAAGAAGCAACTTGAGCCCTTGAAAAGATTCTTAATATTATGAGTAATTAGGAAATCGGGATCAAAACCATGAGATACCTTTTCCTATCTACTAGTATGGTATGAGAAAAGTCAGAGCCAGGGCATGGTGGTCCCCATCTGTAATTCCAGCTCTTAGGATGATGAAGTGGTAAGATTAAAAGTTTCAAGCCATCCAGTAAGGAAGAATAAGACCTTGTCTCAAATCACAAAGCTAACCTCACTGTACACACACAGTAAAAAGCAGATAGCAGCAAGCATCTCTGAGGAGGTAAGGAAACTGAAGTTCTCATATACTATTGGTGGGGGTTCTGCTATGGAATACCCTGGCAGTTACGCAGGCAGTTAGTTAAGCGGAGTTATGACACAGCACTCTTCAGTTTTACCTAAAGAAAATGAAAGCACAAAATTTCTACCAACATTTATAACATCAGTATTTATAAGAAGCAAAAGTGGAAATAACTCAAATGTCCATCAGCTAACAAGTAGATAGTCAAAATGTTCATTTATTCTACTGTAAGAGGAATGTGTATTAGTATGTACTACAATATACATCAAAGCTACAAACAAACAAAATGAGGCCAGGTCACAAGAGATAGCATATTATATTATTCCAGTAATATGAAATAACTAGAAGAGGAATACTATGTATACAGAAAGATTAGTGGTTGCCTGGCACTGAGGGCAGATGACCTTAGGAGTAGTGAGGGGATAAGGTTTCATTATGAGGTGATAAAAATGTTCTAAATTTAACTGTGGTTATGGCTACATTTGTGGATGCATGTGTTAAGAACCATTGAATTTTATACTTTAAATAGGTGAGATAAATGTCAACCATGTCTCAATAAAACTTTAAAATGCTTCTGAGAGAATTGCATATCTGCATGTACAAGAATGTCACCTGAAGATCAGTTGTCCTCTGAACTCTGTCATATACATGCGTACACATAAACAAACATACATTCCCCTCCCCATTTACTTATTTGACACTGAGTATTACTATATAAGTTGAACTTGGATTGAACTATTTTAAAAAATATTTTATTTTATATGAATGAGTGTTTTGCATTCATGTATATATCTGTGTACCACATGTGTGCCTGGTGTTCAAAGAGGGCAGAAGTGGGTGTAGGATCCCCTGAAACTTGAATCAAAGATGGTTGTGAGCACTATGTGAATGCTGGGAGTTAAACCCAGGCCCTCAAGAAGAGCAGCCGATGCCTAGCCTTGAATTCTTTATGATATCCTCCTGCCATAGCCTTCCAAGTCCTGAGATTACAGGTAGACACCACCACACTCATAGTCTCCAATGCCTTTAATGAGCTACTCTTAGAAATTAGCATATTGTCATGACCATCATAATTATTTATTGGAAGCATCACCAAGTCTAAGTCATACTCAGGGTGAAAAGGGTTACATTCCATTTTTGAAGGGAGCAGCAGAGTCTGTGAATGTGCTGTAAACTCACTACAGCAGTGGTCCTCAACCTTCCTGGTGCTGCGTCCTTTAATGCAGTTCCTCATGTCGTGGTGACCCCCAGCCATACAGTTATTTTCATTGCTACTCCATATCTGTAATTTTGCTACTGTTCTGAAATTGTAATATAAATATCTGTGTTTTCTGATGGTCTTAGGCGACCCCTGTGCAAGGGTCATTTGACCCCCAGAATGGTCACAACTCACAGGTTAAGAACCGCTGCACTAGAAGAAGACAGAACTTTAGTAAGCAATGAACAGAATAAATAAGCAAATTGTGGAGCTGCATGTTAGAAGATGGGGAGTTCTATAGAAAAATAGACGTAAGGGGAATAGGGATATGTTTGTATTGAAGGGCTATATAGGTTGCCATTTTAAACATGGTATCAATGTAGGCCCCATGACAAAGGTTAAAGACTTCAAATGGATGAGAAAATTAGCTAAGCAGATTTCTGAAAGTGAGGAGTCCCAAACCAAGAGAATAGCTAAACCAAAGCCCTTGAGTGACAGTCACCCAGTAGGCAGTGTGACAGGCACAAAGTCAGGTGTGCTGGGTGATTGGAGACCAGAGAGGTCAGTTTGAGGTGGGCAGACAGGGGAAATCATGTAGAACTCTATGAATAGCCTAAGGACTATTGACTGTTTTGGTTCTTCGGTCTACATCCAAATATTACATGAGATTATATGCTAAACATGTTTCATAATCAGGAAAGTAGTTTCTAAAGGCAAGTTACATTTTAAAATTTTCTTTTATTTTGCTTATTTTTATGTGTGTGCCTATATGTGGATGTCGGAAAACAACTTTAGGGATTTGTTTCTCTTCTATCATGTAGGTCCAGGGGCTTGAACTCAGGTCATTGACTAAGCCATCTTGTTGGTCCCAAAAATTTATTACTTGGAGTGTTGTATGTTTTTAAATTAGCTTAGCCATAGAAATCTACTTTCCTTTACTTCATCAAAGATTAGTTGAAAGGTTTTCCTCAGCAAGTATGAAAGAATGGTGATCACATTTTCTATTGGAGGTGTGGAGAAAAGGTGATAAAGATTATTTCCGTGGCTGAATTAATGATTTTATATTCTCTAACAGGAACATAAAGACATCAAAAAATGGAACCAAGTATGGATGTGAATTCAGTCACTATCTCTGTTGAGGGAATGACATGTATTTCCTGTGTCCGGACCATTGAACAGCAGATCGGGAAAGCGAATGGTGTCCATCACATTAAAGTAAGTTTCTCTTTGTAGATCAGTAAGATGCCATCAACAATAATTCTGGTAAGAATTACTTCTGTTACTGGGATTGAAGCCATAAAACCAACACATTGACTGAAAAATAAAATACACTGCTAAGCTGATACTAAATAATCTGTATAATAATATATAATAATAATAACTATATAATAGTTGTATAATAATAACTTATCTAGTTAATTCTGTTTTAAGAAAGAAAGTCAGGTATAATTGAGGCAGGAGGATCAGTTGAGTTCAGGAGTCTAAAGATCAGTGTGGATAACACAATCAGTCCTAGTCTTAAAAAACAGCAAAGAAAAAGAACAGTGTTCAAATATGGACTCTATTGTGGTTGCATATGTGTGCTTTTTACTACTCCTAATTTCTGTCTTTTTATTTGAAACAAGGTTTGGACGTGTAACCCCAAATGGCCTCAAACTCAGGATCCTCCTGCTTCAAGCTCCCAAATGCTAGAATTCTAAGTATATAGGGTCATGATGAGATTGAATTTACTTTTAACTTCATGCTGGGTGAAAATATATGATCTCAGAGAATGAGCTAGGAATTTTTTTTCTCTTTTTATAGCATTAGTGATTATTTTGTGATCACAGTTTATATGACATAGCTAAAGCATTATTATTATTATTTAACATTCTTTAAGCATTAGCAGATTTCTCAGTGTGCTGTGGTTGCGATTGAAGCTCAGGTCATTTACCTTTTGGGGGGTAGTACTGCAGTTTGAACTTAGGGCTTTGCCAATGTTAGGCAAGAGCTTTATCACTAAGCTATATCCCTAGCAGGTTATTTTACACTTATTTATTTTGGAGGTTTTGAAGCAAAAGTGTGCTAGGCTGGCCTGGCACTGTATGGCCTCTTCCTGTCTCAGACTACCAGTCTTCTGTCCTCAGTTTCCAGAATGCTGGTTTATAGGCTTGGGCTCTTTGTCTGCTGAAGTCCAGGCTGTTTAACATGGGCTGTTAAGCCTCCCCAACACTATAGGGGACACCTGTGGCTGTCTTTTTGGTATTATTTCTCTTTCTGGGGGTAGCTAATGGGGCAGGATCTATTTGTGTAGCTAGGCTTGCCTTGGTCTCACTATCTAGCTCAAGCTAGACTCAAATTTGTGATTCATTTGTCTCAGCCTCCTGAGTGCTAGGAGTATAGATGGGGGCCACCCTACCTGCCAGTTGCTTGAGGTTTTGTTGAATCTTTTTTCTTTGTTTTGTTTGCTTGTTTGAAACATGGTGTATATAGCTCAGATTGACCATGAATTTAATATTTAGCCAAGGCTATCCTTGAATTCCTGTTCCTCTCACTTCCAATCTCCCAAGTAATAGGATTACTTGTCTAGTAAAATATATTGAGTATTTTTTTCTGTTAAAACATCTCTATATATAACTATAAGGCTAGATTCCACTTAATAAGATATTTATGTATTTATTTTGTTTTATGTATATATGTACCTGAGCTGAGTATATGTATGCACAACACATATGAGCAGGTAATGGAAGAGAGTGAAAGAGGATGTTGGATTGACTGGAACTGGAGTTACAGACAGTTGTGAGCTACCCATGTGGGTTTTGGGCACTGCATTTGGGTCCTCTGAAAGAACAGCAAGTGCTCTTAACTTAGCTCTTCAGTCCTCTCCACACTTTTCTTAAGGCAGGGTCTCAAGTATACCAGGTCAGTCTCAAACTCACTGTGTAGCTGAGGATGTCCTTGATCTTACTCTTTCTCTCTGAAGTGCTAAAATTACAGACCACATTGTCAGGCAGCCTTTTTTTGTGGTGCTGGGGATTAAAAGTAGGACCTTGTGTATGCTGAAAATCTCTATATCCCCAGCTAGATTCTATTTTAATATTTTCAAATACATTCCTATTTTTCAAAGCACTCTACTTGTGCCCCACTTAGATATAAAACTGCTATCTCCGCTTCTAATAAAGTCTGTTTAAAGTTAGACAAATGCAATTGCCTTCTGATTAAATAGTAAAGGAAGAAGAGCAGGGCTGTAATATAAAAGCACTTTGGGTTACCAACAATGATTTATATGAATCCTAGTGATAGATACTGAAGGCTGTACTTTCCAGTGCACATTGGTAATTTGATTGCTGAGCTTGAAAGGAAACATGTCAGCTTTTTCCAGCTCTGCCTCTCCATCAAACACTTTTATGAAAGAGGATCCATTATGACCTTTCTCTTAAAAATTTTACTATTAGGCCTTTAGACTCAGAGATTTATTATGAAGTTAATAAAACTTAAGTTTCAGAGCCTCTCTATGCACTAACTTACCTCTGTGACTCTGGAAAGAATCTCAGATGTGCTCACATGGATCGGTGCTTGGTTTGCTTGCTTTGAGATTGGATCAAGCTGACTTTGAACTCACGCCCTTCTGTATGCTTGCTTTACTATGCCTGGTTTGTTTTGTTTTTATGTTGGAATTTAGCCAAAATGCTAAGAAGTGATATAGGACCTCATTGAGTAGCCAAGGCAGGATTTGAGCCTGCCTTTGTCTCCCAAGGGTGGGGATTGCAAATATCTTCTACAATGCCCACAGTCATATTTTGTACAATTTGCAAAAGCAAGATTTGAACAGTCTTTTAGTGGACTACTGTTCTTTTCATTTCACCTCTACCTCTTAACAGAGGTTCTCTTTGTGTTGAATGGTTGGAGAATATATGAGCATTTAGAAAATCTAAGTGGGAGAGTAACATTGGAGCTATGCTTACTTTAGGATTACTGGGCTATATGGCTTTGTGTGGTTGGTTCTTGATTATATCTAGTTTAGTGAAGTTTTTGCCAAGAACTATGGTATAAGAATGGCTCACAAAGTCCCTACCATTTATTGTGCTGCCTCCCCCAGGATCTTAACATGAAGATGTCAGGCCTGATAGAAAACTGGTAAAAGAATAACACCAATGTAGTGTAACTAATGTAAGACTAGTTACTGCACAGGGAATTACAAAACTCCCTGATTTTTTTTTTCAAGACAGGGTTTCTCTGTAGCTTTTGGTTCCTGTCCTGGAACTAGCTCTTGTAGACCAGGCTGGCCTCAAACTCACAGAGATCCGCCTGTCTCTGCCTCCCGAGTGCTGGGATTTAAGGCGTGAGCCACCACTGCCCGGCATCCCCTGAATTCTTATAGCTTATATATGAAAGAAATTCAGGACTTTCCTCAAATTTGCCAGCACCTATAACCCCCAGTGTTCAATTGTAATGCTGGAAGAACCGTTCTAAACTATGACTGAACAAATACTTTAGGGCTGCTGCTGCTGCTCAGGGTTACAGTATTCTAGCACCAACACTGTAGACCAGACAGACAGAGGAAGCTAGCATTCAGTCTGCAGGAAAAACTGAGTTAGCTTTTTGTACAAAAATGCTTTTATAAAATCATTAGCACTAAATAACTGTATGGTTGAAAGTATACGTAAAAACTTAGATATAGAGATAGAGAGATGTTTGGGATATCATTAAGAAAAATATAAGTTATGGGGGTTTATGACATTTATCTTTGTGTGTTTATGTGTAAGAGGGGGGAGGGAGACAGAGACAGACAAGCAGACAGATAGACAGACAGACAGACAGACACACACACAGAAAGAGAGACTCAATATAGCCTTAGCTGTTCTGGAACTCTCAATATATTCTGGCCTTCAAGTCATAGAGATCCACCTGCTTCTTCCTTCCTAGTGCTAGGATTAAAGACATGTGCCGCCATGTCTGGCTAAACATTTGTCTTTTACAAGTTTATAATTTGTGCTCTTTCTCACTCTCACTCTCTGTCACTCCCTCTCCTCTCTATCCCCCCCCCCACAGGTAGTAAAGAAAAGATTTAAAAGAAGTCTGTAACTTGTGATTTATTTGTATATGTATGTGTGTGACAGTCTTGCTTTTTAGTTCAGGCTGACCTTCAATTCTTGATGCCTCTGCTTGCAGAGTGTTGAGATTACAGACTTGTACCATAATGCCCAGACATAACTTAGAATGTTTGTTTTATATTCAGAGTACTTACTTTGTGTAGAATTTTGCTATTTGTAGTTTTATATTATTTTACTTAAATAAGCACCCTCCAATTGTCTCAGAGGCTCTAAAAGAGATTTGTCTCTAGACATCATTTATAAAATTGCTTTTGTTCAAACATTTGTAGTCAGAATGTATTTCTACTTGGAAATCTACAAATATTGATCACTTTACAAAGAATTTTAAGTTTTAATTTTCTGGGTCATAATTTTTGAAGTTATACTATGTTGTCAGTGTGTGTGTGTGTGTGTGTGTGTGTGTGTGTGTGTGTGTGATACAGGGCCTAATAACTATTGGACAAACTCTATCACTGACCTACATCCACAGCCTCTGTGAAGGCAATTTTAAAAACAGGTTTGGGAAGAACCAATATATGGCCTAAGTCAAGGCCCCTTGGTAGTGTTTGGAATGAAGTAATAAAATTGAGATATTAAAATGAGTGAGCCTACTTTATTGAATAATGCAGCAGTAGAAGAGATTAGAGCTTTAACTCAACGAGAGTGGAAAGTCAGGAAGTCTCTAAGTCTAAATAAATGCAATGTGATTATTTGCCTTTTCAGCTTTAGCAATTAAATGACTTTTGGGGATTTTGTCTGGAACTGCATTGTTATTGAGTGTAGTATTCTTATTTGTCCTGCTAGTGCTATCACAGTAGACTTTAAAGGAATTAACCTGAAGTTTAATTGAATCACCCCAGTGATCTGCTCAGAGAAAAAAATAACATGGGAAGATAATGTGAAGATCTTTCTCTGCAATTGATTGGCTCTTTTGAAGTGGGAATGTAAAATCAAATTTCATTAGATACGAGAACTGAAGGACTACAAAGGTTAATGCCTCATTAATCTGAAACTTACAATGCTTACATTTGGAGCACTTTCCCCGTTTACTCGTAAGTGCTGTAGTTTACTCTCTTTGTATAGAGTATCCTTTAACAGTCATCTCTCAGGAGTCTGGGGAGATGGCTCAGTGGATAAATTCTT